GTAAGCTTAACGAGATAGTAGTGTAGCTCGAGAGAGTCTCTCGGGAGGCTGGATTAGCCACAAGTTGTGGTGAACCAGGGTAAAATTCGGTGTGCCTCTTACTCTTCTCTTTACTTCTCTTTTAATTTTTTAATTCCTGCGATTTCTCCAATCAAACGCTATTCACCCCCCCTCTAGCGTTGGTCTATTATTCTAACATAAATGATTTTAGTTATGGAGACACAAATGATCACTGGAATAAATGACAACAAAAATGAATGGACATGTAAGGTTAGAGTTGTGGAGAAACGCAACATCAAACACTCAAGGACGAGCCCTAACAAGTACAGACCTTTTATATTGCAGGATGAGGAGGTAAGTTTATAAAGCTTATAAAATAATCAATCTTAAAGCATACATATTACTTGCATTAATTATGTTCCATTTAGAGCTGGCTAATCGGTCATCAAGTTGGGTTCGGGTTTGATCACTTCAAGTTCGGGTTATTTCGGGTTCGGGTCCATTCGGGTTCGGGTTGAGAACTGTATGTTCATGACCAGTGTCATTGGGTTCGGTTCAACCCAACAGGTTATGACTGGTTTTTTAAATTTTTAAATTTACATTAACACTTACATTTTCTATGAAATAAATTAAAATATCAAAAAATATGTATTAAATCTATTTGACTTTTCTATTTTAAATTCTAAAATTTTTTTTGGATATATAAATGAATATAAGGAATTAAAAAAATGCTTATGTTTTAAAAAAAGTAAGATAATTATGCAATATCATTAAAATTTTATTTGAAAATAAGAATTTATACATAAATAATGAGTTGTAAAGTGTATGATTTTTAAAAACTCTTACTTTAGCACGTGGTGTTCGGGTTCGGTCGGGTTTGACCCATTTTTAGCCGGTTTTTCGGTCAATTTCGGGTTCCGTCATCAAAACCTTTGTTCAAAACCAAGTGTTTTCACGTCAGGTTTCAGGTCTAAAACAGGTCGGGTCATTTTTTACCAGGTCTAGTTCCATTCAACCATTTCCGTACAGGGTACCAAGGTTCTTGCTCTCGCAAATAGTGGTGATATTGAACAAATTGATAAGATACTCGACATCAAAAACACGTACTAATAAGCGATGCTGTTGCCATGCCAAACCAAGTATAGTGGTGATCCCCCATCCGCAAACTATAATTACATTTGGCTGTTGAGTAAAAAGACTTGGATTGAGGCAGACCCAAAATTAGAACAAATTCAGGCAACAAAAGAGACAAACACTATCCTCACACAATTCTTTGACTTCTATGACTTATGTGGGCCTAAAACCCCAATCAGTATGTGAATAATATTAATCTTCATTAACATAATACGAAAAATCACAATGATGTGACATCTAAACTTTTTTTTTATGTTTGCTACATTCAGAGAAGCCGGGATATAACATCCCTTTTAGAGAGTGGGCGACACCCAATAATTTTGGGTAAAAGGGTGACCGTTACTCCCTTCAATGGTAATGTTTATTTATCCAAAACATAGCTTCATAACCACACAAAGTAGATCGTAGTAAACTACTAAGGAAACATGCACATGTAACAGGTGTGTCACTCCCCACAAGATATGATTCCGTATTTGAAGTTAATCATTCAGATCCCACTTGGGATCGGTTGCGAAAATGGTAATACTATATTCTCATTTTAATAGCTATTAAAAGAGATCACACACCTGTCAATTTATGTTGTATAAAATGCACTACTAGGTTCTGGGTAGGGATTTTGTTTCTTACTTTGGGGATTGGACCTGATTTTGGGTTTGGTTTTGGGTTAGGTTCTAGGTTGACTTTTAACTTTAGTGTTTGACAATCAAATTTGCGTTAGGCTTGCGGGTACAATCCGTTGGATTTTAATTTTTAGGTCAGACTCTAGGTCGTGTTTTGAGTTAAGGCAATTGCATTTTACTGTCTTGTTTTTTGTTGTGGTTCTAAATACTATCAATATGTTGTGGTTCTAAATACTATCAACCTCAGATTTCCAGATTCTAGGCGTTGCGTATCAGATGAGCAGATTTCCTGGTATGATTGAAACGTCTTCTCTGATTCCTCGTCTTGTATTTATGGATCCTTCCCTTAATAATCCCCTGCCAATTATTTCAGCATGTACGTTGGGCTATTTATATTCGATTTTGGGAGATGGGATGAGACACCATCTCCAAGATTCCTCCTAGGTATAATCTTATGAGTTCTTTGGCGTGTTCTTCTCGTTGTTGTTTGTTTCTATTACTGAAAGAGGGGTCATTTTTCACCTATAGATAAGGCTGAACCTGCTACTGTTTGGAATATTATTCTTAAAGGTAATTTAAATTCCATGTATTCAAGAGTGCTCAAATTCAGATGTGTATTCTGCTCACATTACTTCCTTTGAACATTCTGCATAATAACTTGCAAGGTTTTGACTATAAAGAATACATTTTTTAGCAGTTTTTAAATTATGACCTTTTTTTTATGTCTTTGCAATCCTGTTTGAAACTGAAAAATGAGAGGTGTGCCATGTGATTTTTTAAATTTCAAGGCTATAAAGTAAGGAGTGAGTGTTGGACTCTGGTAAAGGTTAGGAGTGAGTGTTGGACTCTTGAAATCCATTATGCAAATGGGTTAGAATGGTTGGGTATACACAATTCTTTTCCCACATTTCCTGAACCTAAA